TTAAAAATGACTGCCTTTTTTCTCATTCAGCTGGATTGTTCTTATTCAAACACGTTCCTTAAAATTTCCACCTATTGAAATAGCTTTTATTTCTATGGACTCCCAGGCTATCAAGGTATTACCTTCAATAAAATGATTTTTCTAAAAAAAATAAAGTCCCCTGGTCCCAACAGAAATGAAGTGCAAACTGACCATAAAGAAGCACAATCACTTGCTCCGCTCTGTGTCCCTGTTCACCTCAGGACAAGCCGATCGACACTGTCGACATTTTAGGGTCACTCCTTTTAGGAAAAATGTCAGCGACTCAAGGATTTCATTTTAAGCAAAGGGAAACTGCAGCATTGTTGCCATGGAGGGCAATGCAAAACCTCCTGAAAAGAGGCATTTCCTATGAAGAAAGAGCAGTGGACACAAACCCTGTTGATAAATTTCTGGTTAAGAGAAAAAAATAGGTAAAAACAATCATTAAGCCTAAATAACTCTGATTCAGAGATATTTAATGAGAAAACTGTCTCTTTAAACATTTGCTCACCTAGTACTGAAGGAAAAAACAAAAGAGGAGGAGGAGGAGGATATGGCTGACAGTGCAACAACAGAGGAACGAACACTGAGAGGTATGTGAAGAAAAGGAGGAGGAGAAAGGCTCTAAAGTATGCCTACCAGTAAACGTGCAGCATTCAGAAAAACACGTACCGAACAATAGGAGAGAGAGGAGGATCTGTTTGTGCACACTCACTGAGATTTTTCTCTCTCTTATTGGGCCCACATTTCTTAAGAGTTCCACTGCATTTCCAAAGTCCCTCAGTTTTGTAAAACCTGCTTATTGGGGTACCTAAATTGGCTTTGTAATGTTTTGTGGCCTGGAGTCATTGATATCTACTCTCAACTTCAATTCTCTTCTAATGCAGATTTTGCCAAGAATATATGCCAGCACATTAGAAAACTGTTATACAAATCACTGGAGGGGAAATGACTTCTTAAAACATGGTGCTTGGCCTGAGGTCATCACAAGGTGTTGTGGCTGTCATGGCTACAGACTATTAAGGATATAGCACCAGAGGAACTGCTTTCATTCTTGGAGAGGCCCCAAAAGGTGGTGGTATTGGGCAACAGCTTTTCTATCTAGAAAACTCTTCTGCTGGGTAATGCAGAGTACTCCAAGCCTCTCTGAATCAATGTGCATGAGTCATTGTGGTACTGTGGCCAAATACCAATGCAAAATCCCCTAGCCCTTCCCCTGCAATTTTAGTTGGATATTGCACTCTTCCCTTCCTGTCCCAGTCAGTGCAGTCTGTGCAGTTTTGCTGTGTGATGTTGAACAGCTGCTCAACGTCACTGTAGATTCATTGTATTGCAGTGGCAGGTGAAAGGACTTGTGCACTTCAATCTAATTGTATACGCAAGTGACATACTACAGCTTTCTAAAGACACTGGCCATAGGTTCTTAAAGTCTTCTAAGTACCTTCTGAGCAAAAGGTACTGTAAAAGTAATTCTTTATTAATATTGTATGTTGTATATCTGTACAATATCCTTGCTACAAGTTTGAAACAAGCACAGGAATACTGTGGAGAGTCACACAGCCAACTTAAACATTTTTGAAAAGTTATTCTCACATCCCTACACTGTAATATTATAATCCCAGTGTCAAAAGTTTGTAGCAAATTTAAATTCCTATTTAAAGAAAAAAGTCAAGCAATGCATTTTATCTGAAATGTTCCCTTTCGGCTCAACTTTGCTGAGCTAAGTTATAAAAAACCTGTTAGAAAAGACTGATTGCTTCCTGGATTATAATTTTGCACAAGTAAGCATTTATCTCAAACATACTGCAAACCTGCTAGATATTAGAAAACACTGCCAAACCAAAAATTTTATTGAAATTTTTCAAACTTACAGCTGTTGTATTATATTCTGCCAGTACTCTGTGGCACAGAGTGAACAATAACATATTTATATGTTCAGAAGATAATGAAATTTATGCAAGTTAGGAATACTGAGAAAAAAGTGGAATGTGACACAGTCAATTTTTGTACTCAGCTCCACTCTGATGAACTTAACAACAGTATGCATTTAAGGCACAGTAGGACAGAGCAGAAGGTAGCTTACTGCCTGTGATGGATAAGGACTGGCTTATGTAGCATTATTTAAAAGCAAATAAAGTCATAAAATTGCTGATATTTTGTCTTTTATACTATCATATTCTGTCTCTATGGATCTGTAGAAAATTAAACCTGAACAAAAAATCTGAACTCATGTTTCCATAAGAACACGTTATATACTTGTGTTTGTTTCTCTTCCATGTTCAAGTAAATTGATATCTTAATATAAGAGAGAGCAAGAGCCTGCAGAAATAAATGATCTGGTGCATTTTTAATAACAGATCTATACTAGGAGAAAGGATGCTTCTTAATAATCTGTTAACTAGTGCATTAAAATCCAGCGTGAATAAGAAAATTAATCCTTGTTAGAAGCAGCCTAGCAGATAGCAAATCTTAAGCCCTAGAATCATCACATCTCAAGGAGGCCTCTAAACTAAGAGCATACTTCTCAATGGCTTCCCTATACTTCTCTATAGTAAAGAGACACATACCTTTCCAATATCTGAATAACCTCATGGTAGTGCTTACTCCCCTCCATTGATGATACAAGCAAGTTCCAAATTAGTTGCCTCAAGCTGAGTAGGATGTACCCAAACCTAACCTTCTAACTCAAGTTCATCTTGACCAGCTACACGTATTTAAACAACAACATGCCTCATGTACACTAGAATTTGAAAACATGCCAGCAAGTATGCCCACATGGATATTCTACAAAACAACTCTTTCCTTTTTTCAACTCCACTTCCTCTGTGTTCATGTGACTGTACACACAGAAGGTGAGGATAAGAGGAAAAAAAAGCTCCAACATACCTTTTCCTTTTTCCTGAGTTGTTGGTTTCCTGAGGATAAGTTAGAAACTTTTGGCTTAATCCAATTTTCATGGATTGCCATATTTGGAGGAAAACAGAGCATTATCATGAGAGATTCATCATCTCAGGTCATCCAGCTGAGTCACTGCACATCATTAAATACTACTTCAATAGAAATGAGGCATTAGGAAGACATGACGTTGTGCTGTGCCATGCAAGTTTTCCTGGCATGAGAACAGACTTTCCATATTACCCACAAGTGATAAAATCATAGATAGTCATACAGGTTATTTCAAACCACTGTTGATAAAATCTTGACATATCATCACATCTTCCTGCACCAGAACTATGCCATAAAGACAGACTACAGAAGGTACACTCACTCATGGGAAAATCACTACCTCAAAATGACTACTCTTACTCTTAGTAATCCTTTCACCCAACGTCTGACACAATTCTAATTTCTCTTCTTTTTCCGTAAGGAAAAGGCAGTGGTTACCCTTGTCCTCGTGAAGGTAAACTTTCACAAAAAAATATGAACTATTTAATATTTTTAAAGATACTTTTAAATTAAGAATGTAGCTGAACCTTCACTTGGTAATTAAATCAACCGTTTACCTGTCACAAAGAGTGGCACCACTGGCCCATATTCAAGCAGGTGAAGTAACTCTGAAAAATGGTACATTTCAGAATACAATCATGTAGCCTCTCATAACACTGAAAGCCTGGAGGTATTAAAAAAGAATTTTCCTTAAAGAGGGAAAAAAAAGTAGTATCTTGCCCTTGACACTTTTGCAAAGTAGGTAATTCATTGCATTATTTGGCGGAGGACCTTTTTTCCTTTACTTGTTTCTTTTGACAGGAGATGCTTGCTTGCTGGTTTTGTTTTTTTTTTTTTCCCATTAGAACACTACAGATTTTATATCCTAACATGAATTGGTCAAGTCAAGTGAACTGAAAATTATCTCCCTATGTATCACTATAACAAGGCCTTGCGTGTATGGTAAGAGGCTAGGAAAAAGTTCACAAACTACTGCCACCTTGAAACAGTTAACATAGCCAAGGATTTTTCTGTGCTAACTCTGTAAGAGTATGGAACATAACATGATTTTGTAGTGTCCTATACCTAACTAGTCCTTACAACCTTGATGAATCCTGGAGAAAGCTGACTAGATTTTGCAGTGTTGCTATTAAAGCATGAAAAGACTGACTGAATACTGTGTTGAGGCACCTCCCAAATTTTGGCAAGATTCCTGATTCATGCTTAGGAGTCATGTCCACAAGTATGGTCCACTTGAGCAATATAAGCGTAAAGTTGATGTTTATGGCTCTACTTGTCAACTACGACAGTCCAAAGTATTAAGTCCACCTTCTCCAGTTATGCCAAGATCTAAAGATCAACAGAATGTTGAAATTTAATGGTTCCATTCAGCATCCTTGTGTGTTATCAACTGGAGGGAGGGACATTTCGCTGAAATACACTCTCTAGATACTGTGTTTCACTAATAGTCTATCTCGTCTATTATAGTCCGTTATTTTCCAGTATACTCAAACTGGAAATTTTAGTCTTTCCCCTTTGCTTTGCACCAGACTGAAACAACCATTTCTGGAGGTGAGCTAAGAAAGACAAGAGAAAAGAGAGACTTGCCAGCTTGTTCGTCCCATGCCTTCCTTCCAGGCCAAGCAGTTTTTGATAACTGCAAGAATATACCTGCTCGAAAATTTTAAAGTGTTTCTCCAGACAGCAAGTTCAAGGTTTCTGAATGTGTACTGAGTTTATACACACTAAGAATCGCTAATTGTCGGTCATCAACAACTGCAAGCCTGCAAACACCCAAACCAAAGTTTCTCAGAACTCTTTACTATAAACTGATTACCAACAAAAAATACACGTAGGCTAGTTAAGCTGTAGCAAAGGAAATTTATTAAAATGTATCTACATAAACAGTCCATCTGTAGGCTAAAATTCCAACCAACTAAAGCATCTCCTTCCTCAAATAGCTCTCAGAAAGACTACAAATTTGGTTCACAGATTG